GTTATATAGTCTTTCAGAATTACACAACTATTAAAATCAGAGCAGCAACCAACCACTCAAGTCTTTTCTCATTGCTACAAACAATAGGCTGAAAGGCCAGCATCTTCTACCAGAGATTGTATTGCTGCTTTCTCTACACCCAAAACTACCTGCACTTGCCAATAAATAAAATATATATTTATACCAAAAATAAGTGTGAATGTTGCAGGTACCACTGTCTTGTGTTCCCACACCCAAATGTATAATACGAAATCAAGTTCAGTGCACAAAACACAAATATAAATATACATGTGCAAAAATGCAGTTCATTTAAATATCGTATGGCATAAATAAATAAACTGTGATCAATAGATGAAAAATACATAAATGAAATGAGTACAAATTTGTGACCCACTCCAAAATGGAAACAAAAAATGTCCTTATATATATGTCTGTCCAAATCTTCTTATATAATGTGCTTCAAAAAACTGTGCGTGTTCATCATGCGTGCTTCAGTATAACATGCGAATGTGTTACACTGCTGTGTGCCACCACCTCTCTCTGCTACCACTTACCTCAAAACTTGACCCGCACAAAGGTAAGGTCAAGACACGCTTTCCCAGCAACCTGGGTCAAAACTCTCCACAACCAACCAGGAAGGTAAGACACAGATCTGTCATTAACTTGCTATCTCAGGATCCAGCCTGTTCAGCAGAAAAGAAGAAAGACATGACCTCTCATGGTGCAGTACAGACATACTGTTTTATTAGCCCAAAAGAATACCATACTACTCACATTAACCACTTGACCTCCAGAGGATTTACCCCCCTTAATGACCAGGCCTCTTTTTGCTACTTGGCGCTGCACTAATTCAACTGATAATTGCGCGGTCATGCAATGCTGCATCTAAACGAAATTTACGTCCTTTTTTTCACACAAATAGAGCTTTCTTTCGGTGTAATTTGATCACCTGTGCGCTTTTTATTTTTCACGCTATAAACAAAAAAACGCCAAAAATTTTGAAGAAAAACAATATTTTTTATTTTCAGCTATAAAAAATATATAGTAAACTCAAAGTTGGTTATAAATTTAGGCCAAAATGTATTCTGCTACATGTTTTTGGTAAAAAAATCCCAATAACTGTATATTGATTGCTTTGTGTGGAAGTTATAGCGTCTACAAACTATGGTATAGATACTGCAATTTACGCCATTTTTCTGCTATACAGCGCTGTGCTAGTTTAACGGACAATTGCGCGGTCATGCAATATGGTACATAAATTAAATTTACATCCTTTTTTTCCCCACAAATTGAGCTTTCTTTCGGTGGTATTTGATTGCCTGTGCGGTTTTTATTTTTTGCGCTATAAAAAAAAAAAAAGTCTGACAATTTTTAGGAAAAAAAACAATATTTTGGACTTTTTGCTATAAAACATGTCCAGTAAAAAAAAAAATGCAAAAATCAAATTTAGTCATAAATTTCTGCCAAAATGCATTCTGCGACATGTCTTTGCTAAAAAAAACCCAATACGTGTAAATTAATTGGTTTACGTGAAAGTTATAGCGTTTACAAGTGGCGGGAAAGATACTGGGATTTTTAGGGTTTTTTTTATACTAATAATGGCGGTGATCAGCGAATTATGGCGGCGATCAGGGACTTATGGCAGCAACCAGCGACTTATGGCGGGACTGTGGGACTGCGGGGGACATTCTGTCATTGGGGGGTACTGACTTGGGGTCACTGACATCCCCAAAAACACTAATACAGTGATCAGTGCAAAAAAAAAAACTGACACTGTACTAATGGCAATGGGAGGAAGGGGTTAACTTTATTTAGCAGGGAAGGGTTATAGGCGTGAGGGGAGTGTTTTACTAGGGGGCGGGGGGTGTGTACTGGGCGGAACAAGGCTGATTGAGAAAGAGAAACTGTTCTTTCTCGATCAGCTCATCCTCGAGCTGACAGAGAGGTGACAGACAGCACAGCTACTGCAGCTGTGCACTCTGTCACCGTTTACCACCGATCGCCGGGACATAGCCGCTAACGAGCGGCTGTGACCCGGCAACTGACATCTGCGGCGGTGATCCACAGGACAAATAGGGCGGCAGCGCGCCTCACGCGCGCCCCCTATTTGTTTACAAAACACACGTTTTAAAACGTGGTTTTGCCTGTGAGTGCTGCCCTGCCACCGTATATGTACAGTGGCTGGGCGGCATGCGGTTAAGTGCACTATAAATCCAGTGCACACGATGAATCGCCTTTTTACACACATTGCCACCTTAAGGATTAAACATCAATTCAGAATGACATGTAAAATGGCCGACCTTGGACTTCTGGCGTGATGACGTCACATAGCCCTGCTGATGCATTTCATTACGTGATGCATGATATACGCACAGGAAAATACTCAAAAGCCTTTTTTCATTGCTCCATCCAATGAGCCAGCGTCTTCTACCAGCGATTGTATTGCTGCTTTCTCTATATATGTGTCTAGTCTCCTCTTCATAATTATCATTACCAAGATAGTATCTTATTGGTAGAAAAAGGTGAATCGCTTTGTAGGATAAGGGATTTCACGTTATCACTCACTATAGATGTCCCTTCAGCCACCCAAACACAGGCAAGGAATCAACATTGTTATAGCTGTATTAGGCCTTTGATGTTTATCTTATATGTCCAACAGCTTTCTCTGCTGCAATTTACTTTAAATAAGCCTTGATGCCCAGCCATGAGAAGCGGATGAAAGTAATCTGCCAGTAAATTGTGCTCTTGGCATGGTGAGGATACTCAGAGATGACAGAAAGGAAAATGCTATTGTGAGTCAATTCACTAAGATGTCTGAAGAATTGTAAATGTGTCTTTTTTTAGCTCACAATAATGCCTCATTAAAATGTTCCGCTCACACATATACACACACGATGGGGTGAGCAGATATTATTTTTCTCATAAAATGTTTGTTTATCCTCTGGAAGCTTCTATTTCTATTCTTTATCTCCCAAGTCGTTATTTTATCTCCACTCTGGAGCAGCTCCATTTCCTGCAATCCAAACAGAATCTTACAGATTGTGAAAGTAAACACAGAAATCTCCAAAATTACCTTTAATATAATGCATGTGCGTTTAGCTGAATTTAGCTGATCTGTCTGATAAATATTTTTTTTTTGTAAAAATATGAGTACAAGGCAGTGATGGAAATACAGCACACTTTAGTGATTGTCACATGCTGTATACTGATAATTCATACTATTGTTACATTGTCTCAGAGAACAATGTCTGCACAGAACGTTGTATTTTCTGGATCCCATCTCGTCTTTTTGCTGTTTCTATGCAAGGACTAATAAACCTCACCACAGACATGAGACGATCGCAGCCCTGAAAACAACCATATATCTGTGGACATACAGTGACCTTAGCCAACCCCTTACCAACCTACAGTGAAGGAAATAAGTATTTGATCCCCTGCTGATTTTTAATGTTTGCCCACTCACAAAGAAATGATCAGACTGAAAATCAAATGTTAGGTGTATTGTAACACTGAAAGACAGAATAGCAATAAAAAATTCAAAATAAATTATGCACTGATTTGCACGTTCATGAGGGAAATAAGTATTTGATCCCCTTCACAAAACATGACTTAATACTTGCTGGCAAATATGTTGGCAATCACAGAGGTCAGACACTTCCTGTAGTTGGCCACCAGGTTTGCACACATCTCAGGAGGGATTTTGGCCCACTCCTCTTGGCAGATCCTCTCCAAGTCATTAACGTTTGGTGGCTGCCATTTGGCAACTCGAACTTTCAGCTCCCTCCACAGATTTTCAATCGGATTAAGGTCTGGAGATTGGCTAGGCCACTCCAGAACCTTAATGTGCTTCTTCTTGAGCTACTCCTTTGGTGCCTTGGCCGTGTGTTTTGGGTCATTGTCATGCTGGAACACCCATCCACGACCCATTTTCAATGCCCTGGCTGAGGGAAGAAGGTTCTTGCCCAAGATTTGATGGTACATTGCCCCATCCATCGTCCCTTTGATGCAGTGCAATTGCCCTGTCCCCTTAGCAGAAAAACACCCCAAAGCAGAATTTTTCCACCACCATGTTTGACAGTTGGGATGGTGTTCTTGGGGTCATAGGCAGCATTCCTCCTCCTCCAAACACGGCGAGCTGAGTTCATGCCAAAGAGCTCGATTTTGGTCTCATCTGACCACAGAACTTTCAACCAGTTCTCCTCTGCATCATTCAGATGTTCAGTGGCAAACTACAGAAGAGCCTGGACATGTGCTTTCTTGAGCAGAGGGACCTTGCGGGCACTGCAGGATTTCAATCCTTGTCGGCGTACTGTGTTACCAATTGTTTTCTTGGTGACTGTGGTCCCAGCTGCCTGGAGATCATTGACAAGATCCTCACGTGTAGTTCTGGGATGATTCCTCACTGTTCTCATGATCATTGACACTCCACGAGGTGAGATCTTGCATGGTGCACCAGACCTACAGAGACTGACAGTTGTTTTGTGTTTCTTCCGTTTGCGAATGATTGTACCAACTGTTGTTGTCATCTTCTCACCAAGCTGCTTGGCAATAGTTTTGTAGTCCAGCAAGCCTTGTGTAGGTCTACGATCTTGTCCCTGACATCCTTGGACAGCTCTTTGGTCTTTTGCCATGGTGGAGAATTTGGAATCTGATTGTTTGATTGCTCCTGTGGACAGGTGTCTTTTATACAGGTAACAAAATGAGATTAGCAGCACTCCCTTTAAGAGACTGCTTCTAATCTCACCTTGTTACCTGTGTGAAAGACATCTGGTAGCCAGAAATCCTGCTGAATGATAGGGGATCAAATACCGTATTTTTCGCTCCGTAAGACGCACTTTTTTCCCCCCAAAAAGGGGGGGGAAAATGTCAGTGCGTCTTATGGAGCGAATATAAAGCGGCCGGTCCGGTATTTTTGTGGCCACCATGTCAGAATATCGGGCCGGCCGCTCAGCTGTTGTCTCCTGCAGGGCCTTACCTGTTCCTCGCTCCAGCGCTGCACAGTCTTCCCGCGCTGGCTTCTGTGACAGCCGGGTGCCCACTGCGCATGTGCTGCGCTTTGTGAATGATCCGGTGTCTTCTGGGACACATGAAAGGTCCCAGAAGGCGCCGGGCCATTCACAAAGCACAGCGCTTCTCGCACATGCGCAGTAAGCAACCGGCTGTCACAGAAGCCGGCCCAGGAAGAAGAGAGAAGGACAACTCCGCGGAAGTGGGAGCGGATACCTGTCAAATTCAGGTACCCGCTCCCCCTCCCTCCCCAAAGGTCAGCAGTCTCCGGTCATTCCCTTCACTGTCTGCAGTCTCTGGTCATTCCCTGCACTGTCCGCAGTCTCTTGTCATTCCCTGCACTGTCCGCAGTCTCTGGTCACAGTCCCTGCACTGTCCGCAGTCTCTGGTCATTCCCTGCACTGTCCGCAGTCTCTGGTCATCCCCTGCACTGTCCGCAGTCTCTGGTCATCTGCTGCACTGTGTCCGCAGTCTCTGGTCATTCCCTGTACTGTGTCCGCAGTCTCTGGTCATCTCCTGTACTGTGTCCGCAGTCTCTGGTCATCCCCTGCACTGTGTCCGCAGTCTCTGGTCATCTCCTGCACTGTGTCCGCAGTCTCTGGTCATCCCCTGCACTGTGTCCGCAGTCTCTGGTCATCACCTGCACTGTGTCCGCAGTCTCTGGTCATCTCCTGCACTGTGTCCGCAGTCTCTGGTCATCCCCTGCACTGTGTCCGCAGTCTCTGGTCATCCCCTGCACTGTGTCCGCAGTCTCTGGTCATCCCCTGCACTGTGTCCACAGTCTCTGGTCATCCCCTGCACTGTGTCCGCAGTCTCTGGTCATCCCCTGCACTGTGTCCGCAGTCTCTGGTCATCTCCTGCACTGTGTCCGCAGTCTCTGGTCATCTCCTGCACTGTGTCCGCAGTCTCTGGTCATCCCCTGCACTGTGTCCGCAGTCTCTGGTCATCTCCTGCACTGTGTCCGCAGTCTCTGGTCATCCCCTGCACTGTGTCCGCAGTCTCTGGTCATCTCCTGCACTGTGTCCGCAGTCTCTGGTCATCTCCTGCACTGTGTCCGCAGTCTCTGGTCATCTCCTGCACTGTGTCCGCAGTCTCTGGTCATCTCCTGCACTGTGTCCGCAGTCTCTGGTCATCTCCTGCACTGTGTCCGCAGTCTCTGGTCATCTCCTGTACTGTGTCCGCAGTCTCTGGTCATCCCCTGTACTGTGTCTGCAGTCCATTGGTTCAGAATATTTTTTTTTCTTGTTTTTCACCTCTAAAACCTAGGTGCGTCTTATGGTCAGGTGCGTCTTATGGAGCGAAAAATACGGTACTTATTTCCCTCATGAACATGCAAATCCGTGCATCATTTGTTAGACATGCATTTCTTTAGAATTTTTGGTTGCTATTCTGTCTCTGTGTTACAATACACCTACCATTTGATTTTTAGACTGATAATTTATTTGAGTGGGCAAACTTTCAAAATCAGCAAGGGATCAAATACTTACTTATTTCCTTCACTGTATATTGATGAAAACCAGCAATCATCTAACAGCAATTTTATTGGACCATCGCTGTTTTTTCACTAACAGGGAATACTTCTGGTGCCTGGGGTTCCCACTGAGCCCCAGGTTAGCGACTCCCGCACAGCTGCTTTAGTACTACCACTACCAGGCAATCTTGCAATTTTCTGTCAAAACCATGGGTCCTGTCACCCACAGCACTGCCGAGTCACCTACATAGTAATTTTGTCCTCATAGCGACGTCACTATCTGAGCATTCCTTGGGCAAAGAAAGCTCTCGCAGCATCTTCCTTCTCATATGACTGGGAAGCCTGGAAAGACCCAGGAAAGTAGTAAGTGATACTGCATATTCTGAGTTTTAATGTAGATGTTACTGCAGGAGAGAGAAACTGTGATTTGAGGGTTGGCCAAGTGAGTACTCTGTACGCTGTGTTTTATGTTACATACCTATGACGGCGGTATTCTCGGCTGCACATGAAATAATCCTGACCACTGTCTTCTGTACATTGTGCTGTACATTACATACTCCTGGCCACTGTTTTATGTACACTGTGATGTACCTTACATAATCCTGACCACTGTGCACTATGCTGGATGTCCTCGACCTCTCCGTGGCTTTCGACACAGTTGACCGCCCCCTCCTCCTCAAAAAACTACACTCCCTTGGCCTCAGAGACTCCGCTCTCTCCTGGCTCTCGTCCTACCTATCACAACGCTCCTTCAGCGTTACCTATAACGCTACCACCCACCTCCCCCTCTCTGTTGGGGTCCCTCAAGGCTCTGTCCTCGGGCTCCTTCTCTTCTCCATCTACACCTCCTCCCTTGGCCAACTCATACACTCTTACGGCTTCAACTAACACCTCTATGTCCACGACACACAAATCTATCTCTCGACACCTCACCCCCACAGTCTCCGCCCAAATCACAAGCCTACTGAACAACATATCAGATTGGATGTCGCTCCACTTCCTTAAACTGAATCTCTCCAAAACTGAGCTCCTAGTCTTCCCCCCAGCCCGCACACCACCCCCTACTGACTTCTCCGTCACGTCCAAAAATGCCACCATCAGGCCCACCCCGCAGGCCAGAGTACTTGGTGTCATTCTTGACTCCAATCTATCCTTCCAGCCCCAAGTCCAATCACTAACAAACTCATGCAGACTCCACCTCCGAAACATCACCAAAATACGCACGTTCCTAACCCCAGAAACCACTAAGCAGCTCATCCACTCCCTCATCATATCACAACTCGATTACTGCAACTCCCTCCTCACTGGCCTGCCTCGCCACAGGCTATCCCCGCTTCAGTCGATCCTGAATACGGCAGCCAGACTCATCCTTACCACATTACCAACCGCTCCATTTCCGCCACCCCCCTCTGCCAATCCCTCCACTAGCTTCCGATTGCCCAATGGATCAAATTCAAAATCCTAACACTGACGTACAAAGCTGTCCATCATACTGCCCCAAACTACATCCCCGACCTAATATCCAAATACCACCCAAAATGCACTCTCCGCTCCTCACAAGACCTCCTTCTCTCTAGTTCCCTGGTCTTCTCCTCCCATGCCCGCCTCCAGGACTTCTCCAGGGCGTCACCCATCCTTTGGAACTCCCTACCCCAATCCATCAGACTATCACACACACTCTCCTCTCCTTCAGGCGCACCCTGAAAACCCACCTCTTCAGGGAAGCCTACCCCACCCCCTGCTAATTGCCGACCTCCTCCACTCTTCCTACCACTCCATCCCCCACAGCTTTTCCTCCTGTACCACTATCCCCTCCCTCCTAGATTGTAAGCTCCAAAGAGCAGGGCCCTTGAACCCCTCGTGTATTGCATTGAATTGTTATTGTACTGTCGCATGTATTGTCTCCCATTGTAATGTACAGCGCTGAGCGAACTGTTGACGCTTTATAAATACTGTATAATAATAATAACGTAATATACTCCTGAACACTGTGCTCTGTATGCTGCGTTGTGTGTTACATACTCTATACTCTCTGGTGTACTGTACATTGCATACTCCTCACTGCTGTATGCTCTTATGTACATTACATACTCATAACCCCTGTATTCCATAAGCTGTGCTGTACAATATATACTCATGAACACTGTACTCTGTATGTTGTACTGTATGTTACATACTCCTGACTGATTTACTCTTTCTGCTATATATTGCATACTCCTGACTGCTGTACTCTTTATGCTGTGCTGTACATTAAATACTTCTGGCCACTTTCCTGTGTATGCTGTGCTATTTATTAAATACTCCTGACAGTTGTACTTTGGTTTATACTTTGGTGTACTTTACATACTGCTGACTACTGTACTCTTTATGCTATGCTGTAGATTACATATTGGTGACCAATGTTCTCTGTATGCTGTGCTGTACGTTACACACTCCTGACTGCTGTTCTGTGTATGCTGTGCTTTATTTCATATACTTCTGATGACTGTTCTCTGTATACTGTGCTGTATGATGCATACTCCTGATGGCTGTTCCTTGAACATGGTGCTATACGCTACATACGCCTGACTCCTGTTCTATGAATGATGTGCTGTAAGTTACAGATTCTTGACTGTTGTACTTGTGTGCTGTGCTAATCATTACATGCTCCTGACCATTGTACTCCTACTGCCAGTTATTCATGGTTTTACATCCTGGAAGTTGGTGGAGGGGCTCCTAGGCCCTTGTCATAGAAAACTGTGAGGTACCCAGTTTGTGTTCGCTGATTCATTTCCGGGTCTTCCTGGGTTTTCCTGCAAATCTGCCTTTTTAGTATTGTTGTCATCAGATCATTGTAAACCCAAAGTTGCAGCTTCATTAGACAGAACCACCAAATATGTTCCACAATCACACTAATCACAGCCAGCTCTATGCTGGAAGATATTTCCCCATTCTTATGGTGTGAGGTGCCATTAAATGAGCACTGTCCTTGTGAGCTTTTCAGCAGTTTCCCCTTATCAGCTGATCACGTTTTGTCTTTATTACTCTTTCCAGACTAATGCAAAGTAATATTTTGTTGCTTCTGGTGCAGTTTACCCATCATGAGGCAGATGAAGCCTTGAGAATGTGGACGTTCTATCAGTGTTATTGTAATACTGGAGGCGGTGGGAACGTTATTTGTATATATCCATTGTGTATACGGGATACATCTGCAGTCCACCGCCTGTTAATGACAAATATCGCCAAGGATCATTATTGGAGGTATTGGTTTTATGGATTTTATTGCAACTCTTGCCTGTTTATTAGTTTTGGCTCTATTATTTATCTGTTGGCATTTTGTTTTTGCCTTGCTCCCGCAGACTGCTGCTATCTTATTACTGAGCGCTTGTGTTGAGTTGCAGAATGTGCGCAGGTCGGTAATGGAACAATCCGGCAGAACATAAGCTTCTCCTTCAGCGGAGCGCTTGGATTTGTGGACATAATCCCTTTTCTGATTGCTGTATTCCTGACCTAAATGAAAATTTAGCTCGGTCCTGCTCTAGCAGCTGCTCTGAGCATTACCATCTAGCACAGGAATGGTACGATGGATCTGCCTGGCTTTCAGTGCTGGCAATACCACCATCATGTGTATCAACCGTCAGCCACACACAAATTCTATGGCGGATAATTGTGGCACATTCGGTTTGCCCCCCCGGACACATGGCTTGTGAGCACCACTCCACTTTTCTTACATATGTGATCCTTTGTATTAGGTTCATGAAATTTTTACCCTTTATGGGCTCTCTTTATCCCCAATGCATAGACAGGCTCTTGAAATTCCCTCTGTGTTTTTCCAAGGAAATGTTTTTATTGCTGCGTGGAATGGTGGGTCAGCACTGTAAGCTGGCAGTAGGATTTAGTCATTTAGTGAACATATTTCCGAGCCCTTATTCCATAGTTGCTTTTTTTGTGCTCACATAATACTCATCACATGAAATGACGTCTCCTCTGAGTCGGCAGGCCTCTCGGGCTCTTGGCTGGCGCAGATGAGGAACATCCTGAGTTTTGCCCTGCGTTTGGTGGGGGTGTTGAGTTCCCAGAACCATTTCATTATATTCTTCTTCCCATTTTACAACCCATTAAATCTTGGCATCCAAACCAGAGCTGTTACATTGTTCACCCGCAGCCAGAAAATCACAGCGTTCTGCCGCTCCCTTCGGCATCATAAACATGTTTTTCTTAGTTTGGCTCTGACTCCATCCAGAAATGTGTGGACACCGCCTTGTGAGCCAGCACCGCCAAGGAGAATCAGAGAGTGCCATTTTATTTCAGCACTCCTCATCAGAAGCCTCAAAGATTATATCCCTGCAATGGGATAATGTGCGGGCACGGCACAGCCAAGATGGCTTTTTGTACAAGGGTTAGGAGAAGGAAAATGATGGGAACAGATGAGAAGCCAGATGATTATTAGATAATCCTCCTTCTGGACCCTGATACCCCCAGGGAGGGATTAGAGTGAGAAGGTACCTGGCGGCTGCAGCACCTTCTGCCGTCACTCCTTGAACTCACCGTCTGCTCCAGTGCTGCCAAGATACAATATGTTACAGAGCTGGATGTCCAGGGGTTAAAGAAAAGGCCGGATGGTTTATATAGTCATCAGAAGCTCTTTAATTACCTGTTCAGTGATCTGATTATCTCCAGACGGAGTATTGTGTATCTCCTCTGAGGCTGTGACTGCTGAACATTTGTGTTTATTAGTGAACGAGGCGAGGATCGGAGGCCAGAAATTAATGATATACTTCCATTAATACAACACCTTTGGCTCTCAGAGCAGT